ACCTCTTCCTGGAAATCTTCGGGGGGTACCTAGGACTAAGCACATGCACTGAGCTTTCCTAAGAATCCCTGGCAGCTGAACTGAACCTATCCAGGCGCTTGCAAGTAGATGGTTAGGGAAATTGCCTCTGCCTTTATTTCTTCCCTTTCTCTTTTTGTATCTTCCTCAGCATATACTACTTCTCTTTGCATTTCCATTTGGCATTTATTAACTGTGTATTCATGGAAAATTTTCCAACATTAGTCGATAATGCCAATTAAGTAAAACATTTCCATGGTTGAAGCAAAACAACAGAAGTTTCTTTCAAGAGGCTATAAAGAAAATAGAATATTACAGCCTGCTTTTGAGATTCAGTTCTTTTTAAAAATCAAATTGCAAGACGGGAAGAAGAAACGCATAGATAGTATTTATACACTTTTCCTGAAAGATAATTTTGGCAACTAAATATTCCTATTATGGTGCATGTAGTCATGTTGAGATAAAAATATGCCCCCTCTCTCCAAAATGGCTTCTCTGAAATCACAAAAGAGATATGCATTTTCTACATAAAAGTTGCAAGTATTGCAGAGAACATAATGTTTTTAGGTTACTAAGTTGTTAAGAATCTTAAGCAAATTTTAGATTCCATGAGAACAACTGTGCTGTGAGACATAAACTCTATTTAGTGCAGGATACAAGGCTGGATGCAGCAACTCATTGAGAGAAACAAACAACTTCTTGAGGGAAAATAGTGTTACTATTCTTTTAAAACCAGAAACGATGAAGCATCCTTTGATCATTATAAATATGTCTGTGCTTATGTTGAAACAGACCAGATTTTCAGACTAACATTGGGTGGTTTAGATGAAGGAAGGTGTGGCATTGTGCTTGTATTGTGCAAGTTTTTTTTCCCCTTTCTTCCTGTAAATGCAGCACTTGGGTTGAAGCAGGAGGATCCTAAGTTCATGGCCAGCTGGGATTCCACAGCGAGTTGGAGGATAGCCTGGGCTATGAGGCAAGAGCCTGTCTTGGGTAGAAGTGAGAAATAAGAAAGGAAAAGAAAGAGGGTGAAGGTAGGTCGAAGCTGTAACCTGTTGGACACTAGCCAGTTAATCCTGTAGACGTTTGGAAACGCTGAAGGGAAATTCGTTACACATAAGCCGCTTCTAGACCCTGGGCATATGTTCTGAGGGGGAGAGCCATTTTTAAAGCGTTCTTCTCATTACACACTTAATATAGGTTTAATAACTGACTTTTCCAAATCTCTTTGTATTTCTTAGGAGCTTATACTGAGCCCTTCATTAAAATATGTACTTGTAGCTGCACTTAAATTTCACACAGAAGATGCAGGATGGGTACTACTTTCTCCAGCTGTGCCCAACCAATGGCTCAAGGGCCTGCACAGTTTTTAAAGTCCCAATTCTAAGCTTCAGTCACCTGCATGCTCATAATGTGTAGTGCCTAAAACACACTCATTCTGGTTATATTAATCAGGACCATTAATATGACCAGGAGAGGACAGGAGCTCCACAAGGACAAAATATATCAGGGCACGGGGGCCCTCTATGAGACTGTTTCTCCAACTAAGGTCCATGTATAGATATAAGCTAGAACCCCTGCTCAGATATAGCCCATGGTAGTCAGTAACCAAGTGGATTTCCCTAGTAAAAGGGACAGGAACTATTTCTGACATGAACTCAATGACTGGCTCCTTTAACCCCGCCCCTCCCAAGGGAGGAACAGTCTTGATAGGCCACAGAGAAAGACATTACAGCCAGTCCTGAAGAGACCTGATAAGGTAGGGTCAGATGGAAGAGGAGGAGGACCTTCCCTAGCAGTGGACTTGGAAAGGGGCAGGGAGGAGATGAGGGAGGGACGGTGGGGTTGGGAGGGAATGAGGCGGGGGGCTATGGCTGGGATACAAAGTAAGTAACCTGTGATTAATATAAAAAATAAAAATTAATAACAACAATAATAAACAGGACGACTCATCTGTTTAGATTAAGAAATGCCATGGCTTTCCATAATGACATCTGAACACCTTCGCACATCACACACAAGAAGTTGTTGGCACCTGGGCTGGGTTATTCCCTGCACAGGGGCCATCCCATAATTCATGGAACTTTTTCTGACAGTGGGAAGCCAAGACTGTAGGGTGAAACTATTTATAGTGAAATTCAGTCATCTCTGGCATAGCTATCCCAAACTTGGGCCCTTTCATGTACTCCTTCCTTAAGTCTTAGCAGTCAGAGGCCTTAAAGACCACGGATACACTTGTTCTCTGAGTCATCTCAATGCAGAGAAGGAAGTGTTACCCGAAGGTTGATGCGCATACACCGAAGCCCTACACTACCTATACTCATTGTTTTCTTTCTTTCAACATTGATAGTTTCCATTTATGATAGAAAACATTTAGTACATGACAGACCAAAATTATTTTTTAAAGACATCATATCATTTAATCCTGATTATCACCCAAGAAGTTGCTATTATTGTTCACTTTTTCAAGGAGATGGGGCTGAGAGATCTTAAATAGATTGCTCACAACTATAAATCAAACCAAACCAAAAATAAGCAAAGAAAAACAAATGTTCAGATAATTATCTATTTGACCTTCAAATTAAAACATTTTAGTGTGTCTTCTAAACTTTTACTCCTTGTCATGAAATGAAAGCAGATAAAAAATATTGAAGCAAAGACTTTAGAACAAAAGCATGATCCAGTTCCTTCTGGACCCTCCCTCTCTTCATTGTGGGAAGCACTATTTCCCTGGCTGAGTCCCATCTCCCCTCCTTGTTCCCTTACAGAGATTAATCAGGAGAGAAGGACATGGTAGCCACACAACGGAGGCTGAAAGCAGAAAGAAATCAGAGTCTGGAGGAGGACAGGGCACTGAGCCTCAGACTCAGTAATGCAGAGCTTCCATAGTTATGTCCACAGTTCAAACCTCCCCCTTCACATCTGTAGCCTCTATTTCAGGGCCACCCAAATTAATTGAGAATAATGAGGAAGAAGCTTCATCTGTGAAGGTACAGGTGTAGTCGGAAGGAAGAACAAGACTCTCATTTCCTTTACCTTCAGTTTGTGGTAGGAACTCACTCCTCCAGAATGAGGGCTCTCATGTCTCTCTGTTCCACTGAGTTGCCAATTATTTTTAGCACACAGGCATTGAGAGCAGCTTTCCAGAAAAAATACTGGTAACGCCTTACTGGCTTTAGAATGTATTTTTTACAATGAACTCTTTCATTGTGTACTCTTTTTAGAGTCTAAGATTTGATATGGAAGAGCCTTTTGCACACATACATGATGTTTGTATAAAAAAACCTAACTTGGATCAAGTCTTATATCAAGGCCAAAATGCTCTCAGCCACATGCAAGATAATTCACACCAGTGGATCATTACACAGAAAGAGTGACAGCTGAAAAGAAGCCCAAGATCAGAAAGAATACTGTGCTATCTATCCCTTGAGAAAACTTGGGTCAGAGCATATAGGGAGCAAGAGTGTCCTCAGTACTTACGTACACACATTTCATTCTCTCTAAGGAATCTCGTTTGCGTTGTCCATTTTAAAATTCTGTCTTTTTAAGATTTTTGGTTTTAGTTACTTGGATCAGAAAATGTAAAAACTGCAACATAATACCCGTCTATCCTGGAGTGAAATGTCTGAGAAATGGAGGTTATTAGATGCATCATTGAAAGGAAACATTAAAACACTTATCTTGGATTTTTTTTCCTCCTCTAATGGGTACATAGCCAGGTCTATGTAATTATAGCCTTTCAGATCTGAGACAGTAAATTCAGATATTCTGACCTATGACAGCTGCCCTGCAGAAACACTGCCTTTGGATGTCTGGGACATATTTGTGTCTTGTTAGACAGATGGAGGGATGCATGTTTTACAGTTGTGTTTGCTGGCTGCTTGCACTCTCTGGAACCCTTGGAAGGAAACTTGGCCCTTGATTTCTATTCTCATCTCCATAGACTCGATCCATGTGGTCAGAGCTGACAAGGGTTCAAAGTGGAGAGTGCCCTTATATGGGCCACCTGACTTGGCCGTTCTTCCAGATCCGGTAATGGGAGACTGCCAAATCTCAACTGTGAGTCCTGTTAAAGAAGACTAGCCAGAAGGACTTCGAGAAGCTGCATTGTATCAAGGAAATCTTGATATTTAAAAGACAAAAAAAAGACCAAGATTATACATTGCATACATTCAAATCTTCACGGAAGGAGTTTTGGGGTATTGTTAATATTTCATGTTCAGAGAACTACATAGGATTGAAAAACCCATCACATGTTTTTCTCTGTGGTCGAGTCTGCCTTGTGATTATGTTTATTGGGTCCATATTTAAAAAAAAAATGCTTAAACTTCCCTGGCAGCCACCACCAACATCTGTTGTTTTATCATGATGATTCAGGAGACATCAGAGAAAATAATGTACAAGAGAGCACGCAGTGTGCAGAAATTACTGAAAAATGAAGAGAGCAACATTCTTGGCTTCCTCCTCAGACAGCATGATGAGCTCACCGGGTAACTTCATGAGCCTGGTGTTGTGAGGACTTAGAGGGCAGCAGGGGAATTAGGAAGCTGTCCCCCCAGTAAGTTCTTTCCCGTGAGAACAGCCGCTTTTCAGATGACACTGTGCTCTAAATCCCTTTCATTTTCATTGTGGAAGATGTTGTGTTCTTTCTAACGATACAAAACCCGGCAATGGAGGTGCCCCTGGTGTCTTAACTACATAACAATTAAAACGTGAACATTATGGTTGAAAATAATGTATCCCCCCACCCAACAAAATACTAACAAGACTGGAACTTTCCATAGAAGGTGACTGGGTCAGAGGTCAGAGGTAGCGTTTACTTTATGCATTACTACAGTGAATTTAACAATTGATGGTTTTTCTTTGATGAGGTCAAAAGTATTTTTTTTTAAAATAAAAATACTACATACAGAAGGGTCACCTTCTATGATGACCCCCAATTCACATACCACAGAGTATTGTGGTCCGGGATGTTTCTGGTGGTTCTGTACACGAGCTGGGTTCAGTAGCATCATGAAGTCTCTTCCTTCTGAGTGCGTGCTACAGTGTCTCTCACTGCAGAGTGAAGTAGCCGGAGAGGACAGTCTCTGTTTGGTGCAGGATCAGGTGGTTTCCTAGGAAACCAGAGCCTCCTACACATCCTGACAGCAACCTGATTCCAAGTAGACGGTGGCCTCTGAGCTTAGCGAGGGTAAGGATGGTGTGGGACCCAGTTAGGGCAGTGGAGCAGTTTCTGCTTCCAGATTTTCTAGCTGAAAGAAGAGAAAGAGCAAAGACAGTGAGGACAGGGTAGGGGGCTGGTGAGAGAACACTCTTATGATTATCTCCTGGATATGAGAACTGTAGTGAGTGTTGTCCTGTGTCTCTTCATCTGCAACACATTTTATCAAGTGCTCAGGCATTAATTCATATCTTAGTTATTCTGAATGTGGGTCATTATAAAATGTTTTTGCATTTACTATTCTTTATAAAATAGATGAGTTTTTTTTTAATATTTTTCTTTCGATAGATTTTACTCAGTAGCCCAGATGGAACTTAAATTTGAGATCTTCCTGCTTCAGCTTCTTTAGTGCTATGACTGGACCAAAAATCTCAAAAAGAAATTGGACGACTTTCTTTTACAATTTACTTATAGATTAAAAACATTTTTTTTATTTTCTTAAAGTAAAATTAAATTCTAAATTTAATTTTAATTATAATTAAATTTTAAATTCTTAAAATTTCTTTCTGTTTTCCTCTCGAGTAGTGGGTGTAGAGTAGATTGCCACTGAACTCCCACTGTGGAGCATGTCCGCTGAGCAGTGGCGTGAATTTTGCCCAGGTACGGGAGAATGTGCTGTGGTATTTGCAGATAAGCTGAGAGGATTATGGGACTGGAATGTCTTGCAATGAAGCAACGTGTTGTTTTTCCTGTTGTAACTAGTGAGGTATGAGGGTGTTTGCATGGTAAGTGTAAAGGGTTGCAAGGTTTTTACAAAAATTAATGTATTTCAGTAAGTTTCAAACTTCAGGGAAGGTACAAGAATTGAATGATACTGAAGAGGCTGGTTTTCTGGCTACACAGACCCACCTGCTAATATTCATCCCACTGGCGTTCTCTCCTTTTTTTCTCTTCCCACACATACATGTATGTACATGCGTACACACACATTCACACACACTATATCGTATTTAACCATTTAATGCTATGCTGGCATGTATTTCCTAAGAACAAAGAGCACATCAGACTGATGTCATCACCAGGAGGGGCAAGGCTATCTTGGACCAGAAAACCCCCTGAAAACTTGTGTTGACTGTGCCAGGGTACAGCCTTCCTTGAGCTGACTTTCTGTGGCTTGTCCCACAGGCAGCTGAGATGACGTGGGCGAGCACAACCCTGACGGCTGTGTCAGTGCTTGCTCCTGGGGGAGGCTTGGTTATAGCTCCCTCGGGTGCTGACACTTTGGCTTTGGGTCTGTCAACTGTGACAGAACTCACTGTGTGTGTAGCTGCCACCTGTTCTCTTTGCATTACCCCGCAGGATTTGTGGATAGGAAAAGCGGCTCCAACATGCTCAGGGTCTGTTGTTTGCAGTAACTCTTCAGATTGAAGCAAGAAGATAAAAAGACTCAGTTCACTGAGTCTAAGCAAGTCTTGTTTGGAGTCTTGTTACTTTTTGCTATTGTCTAAGGAGTTGGGATTCAGCACTAAAGTGGTGTAAAATTCAGGACTTCGAGACAGACAAGGAGCTTTTTAAAATAGAGAAAATGCAAAGGCCCATGGTCTGTGTTCAGGCACATTTGCAAATTTTCTGTGGCTGTTAGAAATGTGGTGTCCTACCTCTAGATAAAAATGAGCGGGGATAATGTGTGGGGGGTGATGAGAGGGGTAAAATTTAACAAGTGTTTATAGTTGCTATGTGGGAGGACATACTGTGGAGCTTGTCAGAGAAACTTAGACCTAAGTCACTATTAAAAGAATCTGAAGGGCAGCATATCACCAGATTCACCAGAGAGAGAGAGAGAGAAAGAGAGAGAGAGAGAGAGAGAGAGAGAGAGAGAGAGAGAGAGATTGTGTGTCATGGTGCAAACTAGTAGTGATAGGGAAAAGAAGGGACAATACAAATGCTTTATTTAATAGGATATGTACTATGAGCTGTTGGCTTTCCATCGTTGTGGGGATGGTCAAGCAAAGATTATGCTTTTACACAGTCAACAGTAGTACACAGACCACCTCACATGAGACCCTATATTTAAGGAGAGTGACTATTGTCATCAAGACAGGTTCGTGTCCAACAATGAGGATGACTATTGATGATTACTCTGAGTTTCTGTCTTAATCACTACCGTGACCAACATGAGAAGGGGTCTCTGAGGCCATGATTCCATGGGGTAGCGATTCAAAACATGAAGAATGAAATTGCTTTCAACTTCGTTTGTGCTGAAAGGAAAGACCCTCCCTTCCCAGGAGTATAATTACCGAGTTCATAAAATTGCCTTTCTCTCTGCAAAGTCTTTACACAATCATTCTTGCTGGGAGATTTTATATCGACAGTATGCTTCCTTAGGGCTATAAGCTGCCCAAGAGAAAGGCACTACTCTCTAAATCATGTGGCACTCCTGAAAGCCAAAGCAGAGCTCAGGATGGGAAAAACCCTTCCCAAACCACCCAAGACAAGGTGGGCATGTCCATGGGGACTGGGGTGCCCCAAGAAGAGTCGATTTGGCCAATAACCAGAAAAGCTCAGTCCAAACATTATACTGTGAGGCCCAACCTCTCAAGAAAGAAAGATGCTTCTCACCACGGAAAGCACAAGCGAAGGCCTTGCTTCTAGGGAACATGGTTCAGAAGAGCTAGGAAACCATGCTTGGCTGTCTTAGAGTGCTTGTTTCCCCGAAGCTTTTTCTGCCTCGCCTTGCAAGGTCCGAGGACTCGTTTTGTGGGTACAATGGAGATAAGTGAGAGGGGTTGGGAGTGAACGTGAAATCTTTTCTCATCTTGCACGAAGCACTGGCTTCGTGTGGGGCTAGGGCCATTGAATCAGACAGACTCTTAAGAGTATGACAGGACATGAAATCATTTTGAACCTGAGTGGGGCTGACTGCACCCCTTGCTTTATACCACCTTCTCTTTTTCTGCCTATAACTGACAGGCTTATTTTTTGAATGCTTCAGATAGTCAAGGTATGAGATTTCTCTGTTCTATAAGGACTATTTGTAGAGTGATGACTGTGAGAGATGTGTGAGGAGGTCACAGCTTATCTTTCAGTCCTCATCTAGGGTTTAAAAGGAAACATTTAGAATTCCAGGAAGAGACTGGGAAACCACAGCCCTGATGAAAGGATCCTAGCACAACAAGACTAATGAAAAATGCAACATCTCAATATAATCATTCTGTGTGGTCAGTGACAGAGAGCTAATTGGATCTGGAGGCTAACAGTGGCTGCTGGTCAACTGAATTCAGTTGACATGGTAGCATTGGCTGCTCCAGACCACATAAACAAATTAACTGACTGTGTTATGCCATGTTGGACTTTTGTCTTAGCTACTGTTTTATGGCCAAGAACAGTGTGTGAGTGCGTGTGAGCCCACATGTGTGTACATTAGTGCAGGTGCTTACAGAAGTTAGAGGCACTGAATGCCCCTGGACCTGGGATACGGACAATTATGAGTTACTCTGTGTGGGTGTTTGGAACTGAACGGAGGTCCTCTGCAGGACCAGCACATGGTCTTATCCATCCAGCCCTCTCTCCAGCCCCTGGAGTACTGTTTTAATTCTCCCGCTCCTCACCACCACGAGGGAGAATCAAAGCACAAGCCAACCCCGCTCTTCTGAAGCTGATCTGACACCATTTCCTTGATGATTTTATGTTCACAGGTTTCAGGAAATGGTCTTTGGAAGCACATTAGGTCTGATAAGACACAATAACCAACCATTCATGTCAAAAGCCTTAGGAAAAATATGGTCCAATTTTAGAGACAGCAACAAAAACAGTTTCTACTCTTGGCTTGCCACTATCAGAAAAGTCCCACTGGCTCTCAGTGGGACTATTAAGGTGTTATTAGTGCATCCATCCTGTTGAATTAAATGGGGATGCCATCAAATTTGGCTGGAAATGTAAGCAGCAAGTGGCATTGGAGGCTATCCCAACAGATTATCCAGAAGCCCCCTTTGAATTGCAGATCTCCGAGAAGGGAGCCAGCCTTTAACCAGCCTTCAACCTTGTGATTTTTAAACCTATATACCCTGACCCCTAGCACAAGCCACTTCAGTGGTGGGAGGAATAGCTTAGACCCTGGAGGTATAGCAAAGACATAACATTCCTGCTATCCTACAGCTTCAGTCTGACCGAGCAAACTGATGACTCACAAGAAAGAAGCAGCAATCTGCCAGCTGCGCTGTCGCTGCAGCTACCACCTCTGTCTACCTGCTGTGCGAGCAGAAGGACTGTTGGCAGGCCAGGCCCTAAATCATCCTCCCGTCCCTCATGTTGTGAGAGGCATCTCTAGACGATGAATCCCCTCGTTCGTGAACTCACAGAGAGGCAGCCCTGCTGGTTATGCTCATGACTGTGCTTCTGCTGCTCTAGTTATGTAAGTGACCTGGAGTTATGTAATGTTTAGTGTTTAGACAACAGCCACTGGGGGTCATGGCCATCTGGCTCAACCGCACCAATGCAAGGGAGATCTAAATCAAGCTTATCAGTGAATCCTGACAGGGGTCACCTGCCCTTTCTGTCGTATGTTTATAAGAAAGACAGAAGCCCACATGGTTTATGCCCAAGGCCAGAATTGGTCTTGGGCTCACATGTTTTTGTGTGGATGTTGGTGCATATAGGAGCTAGATTAATATCTCAATTTGTTTAATGGTTCTCCACCTTATTTCTGAGACACACGGCCAGTCTCTCATTGAGTCCTAAGTTCACTGATTTGATTAAGCTGGCTGGCGGTGAACTTGAGGGATCTTCCTACTCTGTTCTCCACCCCCAATGATAGATTTCAGATACAGCCTGCTGGGCCTGGTTTTCCCTTGGGTACTGGGATCCAAACTCGGGTTTTCGTGTTTCTCTAGCAAGCACTAGATGCACTGAACCATCTCGCCAGATCCTCTGTTTTAATGATTCGTCAACAGTGGCAACGGCACCTGCGGTGGCTATTTTCTTTGTTGGGACCGCCAGGAAGCGCATATAGTGGTTTTCCGATTGCATACAGCGCTGTGAAGACTACTCCCGCCATCAGAGTCCAGATTCTAGAGACAGCTCAGGAATCTATCT